ACAAACAGAAAAATTGCATATCCATCAAGCACTGTATCAAGCAAGCAATCACGGCAAGCAAACCAACGCACCAAAAAGTAACACTCTTCCCCCTGTCCATGATCCATCCATCACTGTATGTGTTTTCTCCAAACCCAAGCAGACAATTCAAGCAGGCTGAACCAACCAACACAACAACCAAAGGAAGGAGAGTAAAAAAGGGTGGGTAGCCCACCAGCAGCAAACAAACCAAGCAACCAAACGTTTCCCCCAAATGCTGTCGATGCTTGCTTTGCATTTGTAGCCCACCAAGCAACCAACTAACCAAGCAACCAAAACGACGCAACCCTGTGTGATCCCACATGCTGTCGATACTTGGTTCGCATTGCGGGGGAGGCGCTGCGCCCTCCCCCGCACCCCCTCCAGCCTTTATTTACACTCTATCCATTTGCGCATCCATCCCGCCATTATCTACAGACCATCCATCCATCCACCCATCAAACAAGCAAGCAACCAACAAACCAAGCAACCCAAACCACGCAACCATGTTTTCCTCAAATGCTGTCGGTACTTGGTTTGCATTGCGGGGAAGGCGCTGCGCCCTCCCCCGCACCCCGTCCCGCCTTTATCTACACAGCATCCATCCATCCATCCATCCATCCATCAACCAAGCGCACAAACAGAAAAATTGCATATCCATCAAGCACTGCATCACGCAAGCAATCACAGCAAGCAAACCAAGCAACCAACACACCAAAAAGTTACATTTTTGTCCCTGTCCATGATCCATCCATCACTGTATGTCTATGTGTCTTCTCCAAACCCAAGCAACCAACAAGCCAAGCAGGCTGAACCAACCGACGCACCAACCGAAGAAAGGAGAGTTAAAAAGAAAGGGTGGGTAGCCCACCAGCAACAAACAAACCAAGCGACCAAACGTTTTCCCCAAATGCTGTCGATACTTGCTTTGCATTGGTAGCCCACCAAGCAACCAACAATCCAGCAACCAAAACCACACAACCCTGTGTTTTCGATACTTGGTTCGCATTGCAGGGAAGCCCGCTCCGCCCTCCCCCGCACCGCGTCCCGCCTCCCGCCTTTATTTACATAGCATCGACCCATCCATCCATCCATCCACCCACTGTATCACGCAAGCAATCAACAGCAAGCAAACCAAGCAACCAACCCGCCAAACAGTTATATTTTTCTCCCTGTCCATGATCCACCCATCACTGTATGTGTTTTCCCAAAATCCAAGCAACCAACAAGCCAAGCAGGCCGAACCAACCAACACACCAACCAAAGGAAGTGGGATAAAAAAGAAAGGGTAGCAACCAAACTGTGTTTTCCCCAAATGCTGTCGATACTTGCTTTGCATTGGTAGCCCACCGAGCAACCAACAAACCAATCAACTACCAAAACCACACAACCCTGTGTTTTCCCCAAAGGCTGTCGATTTTTGGTTTGCGTTACAACAAGGTAGCAAACCAACCAACACACCAAGCCAAGGAAGGAGGGTGAAAAAGAATGGGTCGAGGGTCAAAAAAGAAAGGGTAGAGGGTGAAAAAGAAGGTTCGAGGGTGAAAAAAAAGGTTCAGAGGGTGAAAAAGAAAGGTGGAGGTGGAAAAAAAAGGCGGGATGAAAAAAAACAGGGTTCAAGGGTGAAAAAAAGGGTTGCCCTTTGCGCAGTGTTACATACAGAGGAGGTCATAGAAGCAACGGTACTCAGCTACTTGTTGAGGATGGGTATCTCAAGTCCACTTTTCTATTATACAAGGATTTGGTAGAGGACTACCTTTGTAGATCTCTACAAAAGCATGGAATTTGATGAAAACACACATGTATCATGTGTATATATATATATATTTGTTTTGTTTTTTTGATTGAAGAGCCATCCACATTGCTCTGGTGTAAAGTGTTTGAATGTTTGAATAGTGTAATTGCTCCAGGAAGGCGTGTGGCCTGAGGCACACCTTCCACCGCGGCTGCATCGACCGCTGGCTTTGTGAGCCTGGGCGCCGACCACGCTGCCCCATTGACCAGGCGGGGAACCACGTCCTTTTCTGAGTCTATTTTTATTTTGATTCCTTTCTCTACTCTTTTTTTTGAATTATAGGTTCTTACTGTTGTGTAAGCACAGCATATATGGGGAAGAACACAGAGTGTACGAGTCTGCTTGGTGGCATGTGCAACAGTCTTAAATGGTCTGATGTGCGGGCCATTTTAATGGCTACAAGCTTCTGAGATCATATTTCTCGAATGGTTGCTGCTCAGAGCTTTTCTTTAGGCTCCCTTTGTGGCAGCTTTTGTTGTGCCAGTGCTGGACGTGAACGCTTTGACGAATTCAGTAAAGTCCTTGGCTTCATTGCAGGGAGGATCCATGAACTTGCTTCCCACGGATGCAGAGTTGGCCGCTTGGTCGTCCTCTAACACTATCACATCCGCACGCGCAGCGGGCTGAGTACTGAAATCTGGCCCCGCGTCAAACACACCTCAGGAGCCACTTTTGATCCATGGCCCCATGGCGGCAGTGCCCTTCCCTTTCATTGGCAAAGACGGGCATCCAAAGCAGGTGGCCACCAAAGAAGCGGTCAAGCACTGCAACATACCGGGAGTGCCTGACCAGCTCGTGGTGTAGCAGTAGCGCAGTGAAAGGGTACATCGAAGACACCAGTCAGGTCTCACGAGTGGCAAGCGGACGAAGCCCTAAGTGCCACTCCACTCAAGATCGTTTGCGGAGTACGGGGGTGCGATCTCAGTGTGGATAAGATCACAGCTGGTGAACACTCTCAAGCTCCCGGACAAAATCCTGCCATGAAGTTTGGTTGGGCTTGGGTCAGCTTGTCGGACGCGCTTCACCACCATTCTGTTCAAATCTGGGAAGCCCAATGCAAGATGCAGAGTCGGACTGCCATGTTGCTGTAAAGGCTCAAAGGTATGTTGTGGGGCATGGCGTGAAGCGTGGGGTATGTGTAAGCATGGAACTTGCGAAAACACATAGTGTAACAGGCAGCCTGCCTGGTATAGTGGTGGCCTGTGCAACAGTCTTGAAAACAATTTTGGCTACAAACTTGTGACTTTTTCTCGAGCCAGCCAGACTATCCTGCTTTCAGGAGGGGTGTCGGAGGTAGCTATATAGAGGGGAAAAAGACTTGGCAGATAAGCTACTGTGTATTAAGGAGGTCTTGAGTTCTTCAAGAGCTATTTGCCATGCCAGCCCTCGTTGAAAAACCTGTTGCATGGTCGCAGACTTTTGATCTGTGGAAGAATAGATGTAATTGATATGCGCCTTACAAATGCTAAGATGACCGCCACTCAACCCCTTGCACATCACTTTGCGCTGTCAGAATATGTTTGCAATTTCGCCCCAAGGCTGAAGTTCAACTTGGCTAAATTGGGTGAAGCTTCTGACTGGCCGCTTGTCAATCTTGAGATGTGCAACGTACTGCCATGATGTTGAATGCGTCACCAGCCCACACACATATGAAGAGTTGCGATTTTGCAGTTGCTTTGTGAGCAAGGTGCAGGTGCATGAAGGTTGTAGGATTCATAGGTTAAGAGAAAACGTATGCAGACATATTTGCAGAGCGCAAAACTTGCCGCACTTGGTGGGTGCTACCCGACCAGTGCACCAGGGCTCTTTTCGGAGGCTTGGAACATGCTCGAAAGGATTGACCTTGCGTGAAGCCTGAGGTTGGAAGTGCTACTTCGCATGGACCGAAGAATTGAGTGCAAGAAAAGGGAGCAGCGAACCGCAGAGCTTGGCACGCAGTGCCCTTTTCGATGTCGGCATCGACTTACTGTATATGGTTTGTTTCGTCAAGAGTCCGGTCACTTTGCAAATGAGTTTCCTTGCTACATCGGAAGAGGCTGAGAGGTTTTGCTTCAATTTTTGTTGGCACAACAATGGTCCGGTTGCCAAAAAATCATATTTACACAGAGCAACCGCTTCCGGGTTTGAACTCACTGGGGGATGGTTCCCTGTGGCAGGTGATCAAAGACGAGCGGACACCAAAGGCCTTGCCAGCCTCATCATCCGCTGGTGCGTGAAGGCCACAAATCCGGCGAAAATGACAATTATGTATTGCAATTGTGCTGACATAATGGACTCTTGGGAAAGATCCGTGCGAATCAGTTGTGCAGAGCTTCGGCCTGAACATCCTGTTCACATGTTTGAATACCCAGAAGTTTCTGTGGCAGTGGACTTGGCAAGGATGGGAGTTTGCACCTTTTCGGGAGGATTTCATTTGAGAGTTTGCTCTTTGTCTCGACTCCAGCCGTGCTTCTTTGCCAGTCAGGTTCATTTCGCATTTTTTGCCGGCTTGAGACTTGAGATGCATAAGACGTAGGTCCTGGCTGGTGTTGTAGCCGGTGGATTTCATTGACTTCCTCAAGCGGCAGTCATGAAATGCCACGGACTTTCATACTGAATGGGACGAACTTGGGCACCTTTTTCCTCAGCGCGATAGCGCTGGCCCGATCCCAAACTGCTGGTACAAAAAGAAGTCTGTTCCAAATGCGTGCCGGAGGTGTTCAAGGGATGTTTCTTTATTTTTTTGATTTCTTGATAGTTTCGTCACACTTGCTGAGGGTGTACCTGTATGTACTTTCTCTATGTTTTCGTCATGTTAAAAACTTGTGAACTATCCAGGCTGGGACCTGCTCACAAACTTGAATTTGTGTTCCCTGGAAAGTCTTTGCCTTTTAAGCAGTCTCCATAATGTTGCCTTGAGCACGTGTAGTGGTCATAGAGTATTGGAGCCCAAGATTGGGCAGCAGAGCCAACGAGCCGACACGCAAATGGCTGACGTCAGCGCCAAATGGTGAGGGATTTGCCACTGAGACGCCGCTTCTGTTTGGCTAGAAGTAGAAATTGATGGAAGCTTCCTCAAGTGATAAGGCAGATTTCATTGATGAACCATCACCTTTCAGCCCATCGCACACGCAAAGCGGGAGGTTGAGTGCATAATCAAAACCTAGTAATCATTGTATTTCTGAGTTGACTGAAGAACAAGCATTCTCGAAAACAAAGTTCTGGCAGAGCCCACGAGCTTTGACCAAGCCTCCTAAGCGTGCGGGGGCCCAGGGTAGGTCCGTATGTCTCTTGAAGCTGTCTCCTGTTGGTGCTTCAAAGGCACCGCGTTCAACTGTGCGCTTCATTTTTGCAACGAGCTCTGTTGCAGGAATCCTGAATTTTCCGTTCACATTAATTTATGAAATTTTATACAAGTCTTTGAGCAGAGTTCATAGCTTTTCCCTCCAAGCCACTCATTTGACATTACTAGTGCCCGAAGCCGTGGGGTCATCACTGGATCACGAACGCCGAACATTCGACTCGGAACCGCAGCCACGGGGTCGTCCCAATCAGCCAACTCCCTGAGTCAACGTCAGGTTGCTTGGTCATGCCAGCGAATGAGGCCTGCAATGTGGTGTACCTCAGCTGCAGTGATAAGGCATACATGTCCCTGCTGCAAAAACTGGTCTCGGCTGGCTCCCGCTGGGTTGACTTTGCTTTGACTTCGACTCGTTTTTCATCAATTTTCCCGCCCTCGATAGTAGATGCTGTGTATCAGTTTGAGTTTTAGCCATTCAGTTGTGTTGTTGTGTTTGCGCGTATCGGCCAGGCACTTCAAAATGCCAGCCAGCGAGGCCAGGAGCAGATAAAAATTGATATGGACATTTTTCCTGCAAGCGTCACTGATGTATGTCACCAGCTTGACCTCCCAGCCCACTTTCCCCGCCCTGCTGCCTTTCGTTTTTCAGGGCGAGATCCCAGAAGGTTACTTCCAGGAAGGTGAAGCTGTGGTTTACCACAGCCGCACCCAGGGCGCGTGCCTCGTCGGCTGAACACAGAAGCGTATTTGTTTGTGTATTTACATGGTTTGTTGGTTTCGGTCACTTTTGAAAGAGGATTAAAGCATCCCCCAACTTTTTTGATACTGCTCAGAGCAGCAGCTGCAAGGATGAAGCACAGATTGGACATTGACTTTGGACTTTTGAAAGAACTGGGTGGCTTTGTTCGAGGGTGGTTTATCATACCGTGTGGTTTCAACAGTTGAGAGAAGGCTGGTTGTTTCTTAGCCTCTGGCAGATTCCGAGACGGCCGCTTGACATCAAACACAAAACAAACGGCGGTTGGCTGCGTCACAGTCTGAGTCTTCCACCTCGTGCGGAGGTACTTGCGAACCCGCATAACCAAAATCCACGCGGCGGCTGGTGTCGTGACTGCCATCGATCTCACTTGCAAGACCAGGCCGAGGGGAGGGATCCCCCCACCACACACACAGAGACACAGACACAGACACAGGACACACAGACACACAGACACAGATGACGGTAGTTGGAGGAAGCATAAAGATCATAAAGACCCTTTTCTTCACAGTTCACAAGCTGCACCTTGAATCAGTGCAGCCCCGTGCAGTTGCGATCTGAGCAAGATTGCGAAGATTCAGGAGAACAGTGACACGGAAGAAGGGCTGGGAGGGAGGAAGCACTGTAACTTTGTAGTCCAGTGAAAGAAGCTATGTACTTTGAGATATGCGCGTTGAGGTTGCGACTTTGAGCTGCCAACAGCTGCAACTCCAGAACCTTAACGCGTGTTCATGTGGCTTAAGGAACGTCAGACCGAATGTTTGGTGATACGCTGAACCGCTATTTGGACTCGGGAACAAATCCCAGAGGTGATTGGGAAGAGGACATGCGTCAAGCACCAAGCCTGGGAATCAGGGGATGGTATGCGTAATACCACACATGCCAGGGGAAATCAGAGAGACTTGCTGGTGTGTTGGTGCCTTAAACTTGATATCCCTTTGCCACCAAGGCTCCGACTGGCAGACTGACGCTTGGCCCAAAGAGCTCCCCGCGGGGGGAGCTTCCTGAGAAGCGTGAGCTATCCTGCATCCTACCTAGGAGCTAACTTAGCCCTTTCTGAATGAAGTAGTCGGGGGGCAGAGGGGGCTAAAATTCTCAGCTTCTCAGCGCCGGCGGCCTTATGGGCCCCTTTTGCCGCACGAGTGGCTTTTGTTGGGACACTGAAGCAACACCGAAACAACGCTGAAACAGTGTAGAGTGTAGACAACACTGAGTACATTGGAGAGTTGCCCTTAGCTTTCCAGGTCTACGCAATCACAAAGATGGAACATGCCTTTCCTTCCCTCTACTTGTTGTCAACTCCGTTGTGCAAGAACTCCCAGGCAACTCGTCCGTTCGAAGAACTTTTGTTCATCCGTTGGTGACGATGCCTCAGTTTCCAAGGATCTCCAGGTCCTCTCCGAGCTTCCATCTCCACTCCGCGAGAACTGTGAGATGGCAGTGGTGGGAAGAGGACAAGCCGCCGTGCAGAAGGCCCGCTGGGACATCACCACGTCGTCCATGAGTCATGATTTGCTGCGACCATTGTCAATGGTACTGCTGCTACGACTACTTTGAGGGGATTAATCCATTGCAGGATTGCAGTGGGTATCCTCAAAGATTGTGCGCCATACCGAATGCATAGAACAGAGGCAAAACAGACTGCTCAGTTCACAGACCTTTGTGGCGTGCCCGCGGACACAAAAATATACACTTGGAGCGCAGCATGTGAGCTCGTACTTCGAGAATCATTTTGGACCTTTTGTCCTTTCGTTTTCTCCTGAGGATACAGTGCGGAGCAAGATCAGGAGCAAAGGCCTCAAGGACAGGAGCTTGACACAGGACGCGTTGAGTCCAAACCTTAGATTCAAATGCTCAGGTTGCTCTTTTTGACCGCAACGATGAGGGCAGCGGTGCACAGATCCAGGTCATTTCTGTTGGTAAAGTTGCATTTTGCTGAACTTCTGTAGGTCACCTTGCTTTGAAGCGCAGCTTAAACTTGCTCAAGAGTGATCAAGCACACTCAGAGAGATTCCCACGTTGAGAGACATGGAGGATAGCACACAGGGTCACGTTTGTTTCACCTTCTTTGGCAGTGTACCAGATGCTGAGATGAGGTCCATCCGTCAAGTTCAATGTCGGGGACAAAGTGTGGCCTGATGAGAGGGGGGATGGGAGTATGGACTTCATACTACAGAGCACCCAAAGTGAGTATGAACTACTGGGTACATGAAGCAGTATGAGTGAGTGCTTGTGCCATTAGGGACTATAAATGCAGATAAGAGGGGTGGAACAGTGGTGCCGCAAAGCAGGAAGCCTTCACACTCCTAGGTCCTAGTCCTTCTAGATCTTCTGGATAACTGATCTCTTCATGCGGTGTTGAAGAAACACTAAAGTGGAAGGTGCCCAGAGTGCCGAGGTCAGGTTAAGCTGATTTATAGAGTTCGACACGTTTGAGATGATTCAATGGCAACTTTCTGATTTGGCAAGATTTGCAAGGTACTACGAAAGCAGGTCACATGGCCGAAAGGTCCTTGCCATAGTGGAGGGCATCACTTCGGAGGGCTTCTACGACCTGGATGTGAAGAAATTTGCTGATCCCAGAAACCTTTCGCCATATATAGCCACCTAGCTGAAGTTACATTTGCCAGATGCACGAATCATATCCATCTATTTTCGTTGTTGACGTCGTTGACGTTGTTTGTTCAGTACTTGCAGCAACACAGAACACGAGAGTACATTTCTCAACTCCTTCACTCGCCATGCTGTGTGACCTTTCTCTGGTGGAACATGTGTTTCTTTGTTTTCCTAACACTTTTCTGAGAACTATGGTCCATGGGTCAGTGACGGACCTACTCTATTTTTGCGTCAAAAGCGATGAAGAGATGGCTGAGCACGGCCCTGTTGAAGCAATGCTTTGATATGGGGCTCCCAAACCCACAACACTTTCGTTCTTCACTGCAGATTCTTACAAGCTCGTGCTTGGCAAAGCTGTTTCAAACAGCTTTCAGAGACAATCTTGTTGCTTACTTTGTTGTGTTTGGTTGGTTGGGTGTGGGACTGATGTCAGTTCCGTTCTTGCCTTCTTTCAATTCTGGGTCGCGCAAGCTTGTCAGGCTGAGACAGTGGAGGACAGGGTTGTGATGGTAAAACGGAACGAAGCGTCTATACAGGGAAATGATTTGGGTAGGAGGGATAGGAGTGTTGGTCTCACTGGGCTTTGAGACAGATTCTTTACGTAGAAGATAGGTTCGTGTCAAAATGGTTAGAATCTAGAATGATATCAATTCCGCCTTATTGAATCGAAAGGTATGGGTGAATCTTTTGTTCCAAGATTCGGCTGTGACCTTAGGTCTTTGGTCCCACTATTGCAACCAAAAGTTACTGCCACTTTCTCCACTTCTGAAGTCTTGTTGCTGTTCTACAAGTCTTCATTTTGATTCTTATCAACCGGTTTCTGAACATTCAGGATTACGCAGCAGTCCGCCACCCTGTTCAGCTACCTCTTCAGCCTGTGCGTGCTGATGGCATCTCGTTCGTTCAAATCTGAAGCAGAACTGAGGGACCAGCAAGAACTGATGCCGAGCAACCTTGCGTGAACAACTACTAGCGCCGTGACCAAAAATTCACTGTTGGTTGGTTATGTTTGCAGCGCCTGGTCGGACAGGCACACCACGCCTGGAGAGCGCACTTACACCACTGGGCTTTGGCGCGGCGGAGTTTGTGGCCAGCCGCCACACCGGAGAGGTGCTAACAAAAGAGCACTCAATCGCAAACCGCTACTAGGAACAAGTGCATCGCTACTAGTAACAAGGGCCTTACTAGTAGTAACAAGAAGCTATTAGAAACAAGAAATAGAATTAGTATTAGAAGCTAATTAATAGCTAGTAGCTTACGTGGTTGTCAAGAACAGTTGCCCTTCACCTCAATTTCTTGCCATAGTAGTTCTTAAGAGACCAGTGCTGCGCCGTAGCTTTCAGGGAACCTGACCACATTCCTTCATCCAGTGCTAAGTTCTGTCATTGAACGAGCGCTGATTTTGAGCCTCAGATCCTTTTTTTCCCTATCATTTACAAGACCAAGAAGAGCATGAAAAGCAACCACTTTGAGAAGGAACATGAACAACTTCCCTTTTGTGTGGACTGCCCCTCTGCGCTTTTGTGCAGGGAGAAGTCGTGAGCTGCAAGGTCTCGCCAGCAGTGCCGGTGGGCCGTGTGCTCCGGAGAATGCTGGCAGGGGCGCACCCATAGGGAACGAGAGTGAGAGGATGGAGAGATCTGCCAGCTTTACATAAGAAGACAAATGGAAATGAACAAGAAAGATAAGGGCTTCTTTAAAGGGGCCTTAATCACCTTCCAGTTTTATATATTGTTTCTTTTGTTAGTCTTTGGGTAGGTTTTAGAGCCATAGGGCTTTTTCAGAGTTGAAATGACTAAGACTAAGAGGCACCACTTGGCTAAGAAGCAAAGCCAAATTCGTGCATGTCGCACACATTTTTTGAAGGAAACTGATCAGCATCACCGGTCAGTACAGTAGCCAGCTTCGAAAGCTTTGTTTTTGTGTCCACTTGGGAAACTGGGTGAAATGGGTGTTCAAGTTCGCCAGAAACTCACGAGCTTCTATTAGTTGCTCACTAGCTTTCAGACTGGGCAGTTCAATTCAATATGATCAAACACCAGTTCTAAGTGTATTTCTGCGATGGATCACAGCATGAAACTAGCCCAAACTGGAAGCCACGTGCATGCGAACCCTGAGGCGTTTAAGTATTTTTAAGCCTGTCGGCCTTGCAGCAAGGTATTGTCTGAGCTTCCCTCACCGCTGCATGTTGAGAATGCAGACTTCGGTGATGGAATCTGCGACGTAGCTTGGCGAGCAGGCATGGATTATTCGGACGGCCATGATTTTTGTGGTAGACTCTAGGCCCTACAAAGGCTAAACCCACGTTGAGGGAGACTTGCCAAGGAGGTTTTGCATGGATTCAGGCATGCAACTGGCGATTTTAAAGACAATTTTCCAACTCTCAATTCAGGGATCACCACACCTTTCACAGTGTTGAAGGGCACCAGAAACGGAGCAGCAACACAAGCGTTTGCATTTGCGGTGCAGCCAATAGGATGCTCATGTTACTCACGTTTGGAAACTTCTTCAACATCCTGAGGATGGCAGACTGGTCAGAAGCAAAGTCCTTCACAAGACCAAGAGCCAGCTGGAAGCGCGGAGTCGGAAGTCCCAAGAGTTTCAGACGGGGCAGACCAAGTAACATCGAGTATATACATGTGTAATTGTTTTTGTGTCCTCTTGTACGAATTACGAGCCTGAGTGGAAACACTGTTGAGCGGTCAGTGTGGAGCTAAAATTTGAGACATAGTAGTCGAAATTCATGAACCAGGATTAACCCCTTATTTGTCATGCGGTTCATGTACAGACATGTTTAGCTAGGTCAGTTCAAACACCTTTTCAGGTTTCTCACTGACTTCGCTTTTGGCTCAAGAAAACTGGCGCGCTGCTGGTTTTCAGCTTCGACACGCCGTCGTTCCGTCGTCGTGCCGGTGCATTTCGCTTTCGCGCAATTCGTGTTGTGTGTTCTTAGGCTGCCGTAGGTGCTCCTTCGTACGCACCCCACACCCGGTACACAACGGGGACCCGACCTTCCGGGGCTCGCCGCCGTGTACCTGGTTTCCTCAGGGTTCTCCGCACTATAGGTTACCTCTCATCCCATTTGCCCCTTAGGCAACTGTGGTGGTTGTTCCCTGTGGATATCCCTGAGCCCTTGTCACTTTCATTGGTTATCAGCCGTAGGTCTAACCAACCTACGAGCTCTAATAGTCCGCCTCTTTTAGACCCAATACCTCCTAGGTCACCCCGCCTCGATTCAGCGCAAGCCGCTGCCTCCGGCGCGGACTCGCTAGGACGAAGTAGTGACCCTGATCCTAACCTAAGATCCGAGCCAGCAGCCGCCATGCAAGCCGCTGCTCCAAGCGCGGATTCGCTAGGCGTAGGCAGGGGTGAGGCAGAGGTTGAGGTGACGTCCTTGTCAGAACTTGGTTCACAAGCCGTTGATGCTTTGAACTTGTTCATCGACAACCAAGACCCACCAGCCGCTGCCGCAGGCGCGGGTTCGAATAGCTCGAGATGGGCAGGAGCAGCCTCCAGTGCAGGCTCTGGTCCGACCATCTTTCCTCCTTCCGTGATGGAACACGAGGATAGAGACCTTGAGCTTGAAGAGCCCTTCGCTGGTCCGACAGACCAAGAGGTTATGGACGATCCCGAGGCCATCCCCTTCGATAGCCCCACAACCGAAGGCCATCCGGCCCCTGTGGGCGAGCATTCGTTTGGTGATACCCAAATGCATCCCTCCCTGACAAAGACCGTCCGGTCCCAGGGGAGACGACTTCGGCTAGTGCGGACGCCCCTAATCTTGCAGACCAAGGCAATTCTGCGGAGGAGGAGCCTGAAGTGTTCGTGCCACCCGAAACCCTAATTGCCCAGCCTCACCAACACCTAATAGTCCTCCCCCCTCCACTAATAACCTGTTCGATCCTTTAGGTGAAGACGAGGACTCCTCAGCGGAGGAGGCGGTGAGTGAGGAGATTGCCCAACGCATTCAAGAGCAGTACGATTTGGAGGCTGCCCTTGAGGAGTCCGCTCAAGCAGCAGGCGTTGAGCCTGAGCCAGCGGACTTGGGTGTCGGTGGAGCCGCTGCCGCTGGCGCGGGAAGGGGTGAGAGAGACCGAACCCGAAGGAGGGGGTGTCGTGCCGGAACCAAGCACGTTGCAGGCCGCGAGAACCTCTCCTACGGAACAACGTGTGAATACATCAGTGCTCAACTTGGTGATTCCACGTATGCGCGGTTCGGCCGCTGCTTCAATCTCCCTCACATTCCCCCGCAAGTCGCACGCAGGCAGTATCCGGAGTGGTTCGGGTACGTCCTTCGCCATTCCGACAGGTGGGCTTTCGACGCAGAAGGCGAGCTTTTGCCGGTAGATACCATCACTCGATGGGCAACTATCTTACCCGAGCTCTGGCAATTCTTGTATTCGATCGACCCCACACTACTGCAGGGCATGCCACAACCTAAGTATAGATTGCCAAGAGGTTACTGGAGTTCGGATCATCCTTTCGTGCCTCTTCGCCATGTGCGTTCGGCCGAAACTAAGGTTGCTCCGCCCAGGACAGTGTTCAACTCCGATTCGAAAGCCTCGTCTTCGGCCGCGCCTCCACGCGTCGATCGGTCTCGATCCGCTGCCCCTAAGGCCACCCCTGGGTCAGCATCGACAGCCAGTGCTTCGACAGCAGGAGCACCCTGGCGCCCTACGCTTGAGCGTGGGCATACCCCGATTGTGTTGACGCCTCGTTCGCAGGTTGAGGCCAAGGCCTCAAAAGCCAAGGCGGGTAAGTCAACGTCAAAAGGGATTGAGTCCGAGCCAAAGTCTGTCCCGGCAGAGCCGAAGACTACGCAAGCCGCAGCCTCTGGCGCGGGTACCTCGCACACGTCTGCCAGCAAGCCGGTCCCACCTAGTCCTCCCCCAAAAGTCCCGCCGGTCATGCCACCGCAGGTCAAAGGGTCGACCCAAGTCAAGGCCGGAGCTACGTTCGTTGAGGTTCCCAGTTCCCAAGCCATCATTGCCCCTTCGACTTCCACCCCCACCAAAGGGTCCGGCACCAAGTCCGCCGACTGAAGCCAGGTCTCAAGACGGTCCTTCGTACACCGTCCCATTCGAGCCAGCACCATCCGTACCATACGGTCAGTCGGAACCTCTTGATGCCCCGGGACCAAATGAATATAGCTACCGCGGTCCCCTCAAGCCGATGATACCTAAGTGGACTCGTAGCAACCCTGAACAAATCCCGGTACTCAGGCCCGTCAAAGCGGTGCCTCCTGTTGGTCGCGACGCCGATCAACTCGATATGCGCGTCATGCGTGAGCAAGACAGTACCCTCGAACCACAAAGCAGCGACCTCGCACATGCCAAGGCCCACGCGCCTAATGCGCTGGGCGGAGCAGCTCTTCGTGGTGATCTCGAGCAAGCGTTGTCGCAGGCAAAGCCAGAGGTCACGGTCGAGGAGGAGGAGGACGTTGTGGTTGAGGAGGAGGAGGAAGAAGGAGAGCAAGGGGCTGCCTCCGCCGAGGCGCCCGAATCAGATCAAGACCAACCGACCACGAGTGCAAAAGCCGCTGCCTCCGGCGCGGAACCAGTTCGCCCGGTCGTCATGACCCCGGGTCCCGGTGCATTCATTCATCGACATTTGACATCTTTTGGCTTGCGTAGGACCCAATGGGACTGTGAGCATGAGCCGTCAATGCCAATTGAAGAAGCTCGAGACCGCGTGTACGACCTCGACTGGTCTAGCACTCCTCAAGCCGAAGGGGACGACATATAGCTCAAGCCTGAGATCCCTGGGATCATCTTGGCAAGATGCGGTTAGTCTATAGTCTAGCGAATATTGGAGGTATTGGATTAGCCTTAATAACTTCTTATCGTGTACCCTGGTCCAGGCTTGGACCTTAGTTGCTAAGTCGTTAATAGGCTTAAGGATGTCGGGTCTAGAAAGGCGGGCCAACCAAAGGGCCTTCATTAGTATTGAACATGCTTTTGGGGCGAGTTCTCCAGGAGAGTCCTCGTCCTCCTTTGGCCATGTTCCGTCAGGGATGAAGGGTGTTTGTGCAGGTTTGATTTTATCGACTTTAGCTACGCTTTTGTAAAGGTCTATGGTCTGTTGGGCATAGTCCTTCATGTCAAAAATCAATGCATCTGGAGCCGCGCCTAAAGCAGCGTTCTCCTCACCCTGTACTTTGTCGAAACTGGCGTAAACATGGTTTCTTCCGAGGATTCTATAAATGGTTTCGGGAGGCTCTACGTTCACTTCTGACATTAGTTGTTTCCAGAAAGGAGCATGGTGCTCGGATGGTCCGGATAATGTCAAATCGTCTACGTACGTAGATAACATGAGACCTGTCCCTTTGAAATAAAAATTTCCGGGGTACTCAGGAATCTCCTCACCGTCCATTTTCTTTAAAATCCCCTTTAAGTGGTTTTCCCACATTCCGCCTGCATCGGGATGTCCATATAGTGCCCTTACTAGAAGTACAACTGGACGGGTGAATTTTCCTTTCCACCACTCCGGGCGGAGTTCAGGTGGAAGTTCGATCCACGTTTTGTACTTACTTTTGAGAAAGGCTTGAACATAAGCCTTCACGGCGTCTGCCGCCGTGCAGGCATGTCCCGGCAAGGAGCCGTAGGCTAGACAGGCGTTTAAGCCCTGTACGGACGTTGGGTTCGCGCCCAACTCCTCGTAGACGGCGGCGACGCCATTCTTGTCGCGTGCACAGTCGCCGCGATATACTATTCGCCCCTTCATTTTGTGAAGGTGTTCTGCCAGTTCCCAAAATTTAATTGAGGCGATAGTCATTAGACGACCAAAGTGTACGGACACTTTGCTAGCCTTTGCTTCAGCCTTAACTGCATCATATTCTTGAACCGAATCAAGATCCCAGGTACCGATGTCGGTGAGGGATGTTGCTTCTTCCTTAACTTTCTCAACGGCTTTAGGGTTTGCCAACATCTCTGCTCTGGAGAGCAACTTAGTTACCATGGCATGAACTCTACCGTGATGTTCAGGATCTTCAGGGATATCGAATGCAGTTCGAACGAGAGTTTCCAAATCCATCAGACTGCAAAGACCGCCTTTTACCCTCCACAAATGGTAGGCAAAATAGCCAGAGCTTTGTACCCACAAAAGGCTAATCTAGCTCCAGCCCCAGCCATGCCATGTGTGGTCCCAGCCGCTGCCTCCCAGGCGCGGGAAGAGGAGCATAGGGTGAAAGAGCAATCCTTGAAACACATCTCCGCACTTGCAGGAGCCGATACATTTGCATTGGCCGTCGAAACCGACGAAGTTTCAAACCAGATGGCAGAATGCCTGATACCCAACCGCGTGATCATGTTCATGTGGGGAGTGCGTGCACTTGTGTTGCGAAAAAGCATCTACGATGCGCTGGCTTGTCGTCATGAGTCTCCAGGTCTTCTTAATGGGTCTATCCTTAGTGGATCTAACTCCTACTGCGCAACCATCAAACTCGACTTGTTGGAATTCTGGACGCGAGTCAAAGAACGACTGGACGTCATGGCGGTTCCAACTTTCGCAGCCCTTTGGCCATTCAAAGGTCACAGTACCCCCCCTGCTAAGGACGATCCCTGCGCTTCTTTCGAATTCTGCG